CCATGCGGATGGAATTGGCTGATGGAATTCTGGCCATTGTGTGAAAGAGAGTTGGACTGGATGGGCCCTTGGCCTGATCCAATATGACTTCTCTTACATTCTTATGTCTTGATCGTCTCTGCATTTGGGTTCCTCATGCCCACTGTGGCCTCCTACCTTTCACAGCTTTCTGCTCCCCCCATGACTATTGTTGATCTCTGACCTCATGTATGTATGTGGATATGAGTACATGCCTATATGGATGTTCATATGAATGCAGTTATGTGTGTGTGTTTCTCTCTGAAGGTAACACTTCAGGCATCCGATAGCACCGGCTCAATAGGCTTGCTAAGTCCCCCCGGGGGGGGGGAAACCCCCGCCCCAGAGGCCCGTTCCTCGCCACCGGCGGATCGGGCCCCGGGGGGAACTCCACCCTGACGTGCACGTCACTCGGAAGTGATGCGGCCACGCCGGGCAAGCTGGGGGTGGGGCCACAGTAATCCGAGGGAAAACTCTATGGTTTTCCCTTGGATGGTCGTGGCCCTGCCCACGGCGTGCCCGCGTCACTTCTGGGTGACATGGATGCGGCGCGCGCTCTAGCTGCCGACCGGGAGTCCCCCGCTGCGGCTAAATTCTCACTTGGCAACCCTACGGCTCAATAAATGTGGCGGTCTTTAAGGAGGCATAACATTTGGTTTCGCTCCAACAGTCACACACGGCTAGCTACCGCTCTGGAATCCAAAATGATCCCTGTAGCTGCAATTGAGAAGAGGAAGCTATGAATTATCCTGCATTTCCATACTTCATTCTTCCCAAGACTAGGCTGCGGTGTACTCATTCTCACATTCCCCCCCCCCAATAGTTCCTGAGTAATTTCAGTGTTTTATTAGGATGATGGTGGGTGGGTGTTATTCATAATTCTTCATCTTTGTTCAGCACACACTGGGTATCAGTCGAGTCAGCCTGTCATCTAATCCATTCCACCGCAGAGCCCAGAGCCCCATCGATCGCTTTCCCATTTTATCCACACAAAAACCATGTGAGTTTAAGTGAAGGTGAGAGAGTGGGAGAGCCCTGAGGCCACCCAGCTAGGTTCACAGTGACGCTGGGATGTGAACCCGGGCTCCAGCTAGCGGATATTGTGGAGATAAATGTCTCAAGCTGTGCTGATCCCGGTGGGAGGGGGGGTTTTCTCCTTGCATTTGGTCATCCTCAGAGGTATTCGAGAAACCTCGTAGTAAGGTGATACGTCTGAAGCGTAAGCCGTTTTGTGTTTCAGCAGAAGCAGCAGGTCAGTCGTGGGGGACACCTGCTGCATCCAGAGAGGTTATATGTAGGAACCAGTGTTCCCTTTAAGCTGAGTTAGGGTGAGCTAGCTCACAGTTTTTTAGCCTCTGGCTCACACGTTTTTGTCTTCGCTCGGGAAGGATGGCTCCAGAGCAAACTAATTTATCCAGTAGCCAAATAGATCGCTCACAACTTTAATGCCAGCAGCTCACAAAGTAGAATTTTTGCTCACAAGACTCCACAGCTTAGAGGGAACAGGAACGTGTCAGAATCGAGTCCAGTAGAACCTCAAAGACCCACAAGGTTTCCAGGGAGTGCACTAGCAATAATACTTAATTAATAATTTTTGTATGGCGTGTGTAGAATAGCCAGGAGATCCTAAGATTGTCTGGCAGCCAGAAGTTCTAGCTCTTTTAGCATTATGCACCACTAGGTGGTGAGCTAGACTTTGTTTTTAAGGCAAGAGACATTTCTGAGATGGTTTGCTTTGCCTGCCTGGCGTTGTGTGTAGAACAGCCAGCATATCCTCAGGAAACAGGAAACCTCCTCAGGAAACAATCCATATACAAAAGAACCTCCTGAGGAAAGCTCCTCCATTAGCATGTTCCCAGCTTGGAGAACTCCTACAAGATAATGACTCAGCCCTACCCCACCTTCCTGAGTAGATATAAATTACCTGCCTGCCATTTTCTTCTCACCTTGACACAGAGAGTCCTCCATCTTTGTGTGTTATACCTCTGAGGATGCCAGTCACAGTTACTGGCGAAACGTCAGGTCCTACAATGCTAAGACCACGGCCATACAACCCAGAAAATCTACAACAGCTAATGAACTCCGGCCGTGAATGCCTTCGACAACGGATCCTAAGATTGTCTGGCAGCCAGAAGTTCTAGCTCTTTTAGCTTTACGCACCACTAGGTGGCGAGCTAGACTTTCTTTTTAAGACAAGAGACATTTCAGAGACAGTTTGCCATTGTCTGCCTGGCATTGTGTGTAGAACAGCCAGGAGATCCTAAGATTGTCTGGCAGCCTGAAGTTCTAGCTCTTTTAGCATTATGCACCAATAGATGGCGAGCTGGACTTTGTTTTTAGGGTGATCTCTGACAAAGGGAGCTCTGATTCTCCAAAACTTATCACCTGGAAGTCTGGCTGGACTGTAAGGTGATATTGGACTCGAATCTAGTTCTTCTACTACAGACCAACATGGCTGTCTTGGAGATCTCCCAGAATTACAATTGATCTCCAGACTACGGAGTCCAGCCCCTGAGGGAAATGGCAGCTTTACCGGGTGGGCTGTATGGCGTTATAACCTGCGACGGCCCCTCCCCTCCACAAGCCCCGCCCTCCCCAGGCTCCACCCCCACAATCTCCAGGTACCTCCCAACCCTGAGCTGACAGCCCCAAGCTGCTCAGAGCAGGGTCCTGTCTCCTTAGGGTGCATCACACCAATCTGCTCACAACTCACATCTGGCAAGCCTCTCTCTTTATTGTGTCACTTGCCTCACATCATAAGAACAGGAGAGACGCCAATGTTGGATCAGGCCAAAGGCCCATTCCGTCCAACACTCTGTGTCACACAGTGGCCAAAAATACCAGGTGCCATCAGGAGGTCCACCAGTGGGGCCAGGACACTAGAAGCCCTCCCACTGTTGCCCCCCCAAGCACCAAAAAGACATAGCATCCCTTGCCCCAGACTGAGAGTTCCTCTCTATACCTTGTGGCTAATAGCCCCTGATGGACCTCAGCTCCATATGCTTATCCAGGGCTATTTTTGGGCAGGAACGCACAGGAACGGAGTTCCGGCTGGCTCACGAGTTGGCCACGCCCAGCAAGAACTCATTAGCATAACAGGCCACACCCAATAGCAGAAACTCATTAGGATTGGCTACTTTAGGGGTGTGTGGCCTAACATGCAAAGGAGTTCCTGCTACAAGAAAAGTCCTGGGTTTTGACAACAAACAAGGTAAACAGAATAACAAGCAAAAAGTGGGTGTAGCTGGATGACCACACTTCTGGTAACGTGGGGTGTGGCCTAATGTGCTAATGAGTGGTGCTGTCAGGGTGTGCCCTAATATGCTAATGAGTTTCTGGTGTTGTGAGTGGCCTATTATGCTAATGAGTTCCTCCTGGGCTTTTTCTATAAAAAGAGCCCTGTATCTAATTCCCTCTTGAAGCTGCCCATGCTTGTAGCTGCCACCACCTCCCGTGGCAGTGAATTCCATGTGTTCATCACTCTTTGGGTGAAGAAGGACTTCCTTTGATCCGTTCTAACCCGACTGCTCTGCAATTTCCTTGAGTGCCCACGAATTCTTGTATTGTGAGAAAGGGAGAAAAGGACTTATTTCTCGGCCTGCTCTATCCCATGCATAATCTTATAAACCTCGATCATGTCACCCCTCAGTTGTCGTTTCTCCAAGGTAAAGAGCCCCAAGCGCTTTAACTTTGACATCCAAAGCCCCCCACCATGTATTATCATTATATTTCATTGCCGCCTCTCACAGTCTCCAGGCGGCTAAGAACAGCTAAAATATTAACAGACATCAATTAAAAACATAACACGAATAAAGCTAAAAGGCAGCCCACATAAACAGACCCGACTAATGAAAAGCGAAATGGAAGAGCTCTGCTTTGCAGGCCCTGCAGAACTTAGATCTGTGCACCTCGCCGTCTAGTCATGCCGGCCACATGACCACGGAAACGTCTTCGGACAGCGCTGGCTCTTCGGCTTGGAAACAGAGGATTTATCCTCTGGTTACAGTAACATCTGAACTGAGGATTTATCCTCTGGTTACAGTAACATCTGAACTGAGGATTTATCCTCTGGTTACAGTAACATCTGAACTGAACAGAACTGCTGTCAGTTCTAGCCCACACTGGCGTGAGCTACCAGCCTTGTCCCCAGCTCGCCCTCTACCCAGCGGTTCGAAAGCTTCAGAGAATAGATAAAATGGGTATCACTCCTTAGAGAGGGTGGGCACACTAAAACCCCCCGATGGGGGGAGGTGTTAGCCGGCGAAACGCAATGTCCGGCTCGGAAGCTCGGAAGCCTGGAAAGATCTCTTCGGCATTAAGAAGCCTGCGATGGGCCAATCCGGCCAGGCGGTGGCAGTGCGGCACTGCGACTCGAAGCAGTCCTGGAAAAACTGACGTCATCAAGCCAAGCCGAGTGAATGCCGTCTGGAACATGTCTAAGTCTACAGCTGAACAAAATGCCTGTCGGCGGCAAATGTGTGTGCCTTAAAAGATTTATATGTTGTCCTCCCTTACCCCCTATGAATCATTGTTAGTCCCTTGTTAATATGTGTAACTGTAAATCGCTCAGAGCCAGCAGCTCTGCAGGATTGAGCGATTAATAAATCGAAAGATATTATTATTATTATTATTATTATTATTATTATCATCATCATCACCATCATCATCATTATCATCATCATCATCCCTAGAGTCGGATTCAACTGGCTTTCGAGCAAGGGAAACCTTTACTGTTACCTAATAATTGTTTATACAAATTTTCAGTTGTTTGCATAAATGTCTAGTGTTCTATTTATAAAGGCATTAGGTTTGTTGATTGGTTTGGTCTTCATTTTTATACACAGTTTCTTTTTGGTTGTTGTTGTTGGAAGACTCCTTCTACAGCAGAAGCTGCAGACAAACTTCTCCAGTTGAAGTTCCCCTCCGTGAAATGGGTTTTCCACCTCTCCTTTCAGGTCGGCTGCAAGGTGACAATGGTCTTCTTCCAGTATTGCATCATGGCCAACTTTTTTTGGCTCCTGGTCGAAGGCTTGTACCTTCACACCCTGCTGGTCATCTCCTTTTCGGAGAAGAAGTACTTCTGGTGGTACATCCTGATTGGCTGGGGTATGTATGTCTTTATTGGTTGGTCCATTTGATCCTAGTGGATGCATTTGTCTGCCAGCTTTCAGTCATCGCCATTGAAGAGGTTTTACAGAGGAAAATAAGACTCATAAATCCTCAATAGAATACACATTTTTCAAAAAGAAAAAGGGGGACAGGAACATAAGAACATCAGAAGAGCCCTGCTGGATCAGGCCAGTGGTCCATCTAGTCCACATCCTGTCTCACACATTGGCCAACCAGTTCTTCTGGAGGGCCAACAACAGGGCATAGAGGCCGAGGCCTTCCCCTGATAAGAACAGCGCAAGAGTCCTGCTGGATCAGGCCAGTGGTCCATCTAGTCCACATCCTGTCTCACACATTGGCCAACCAGTTCTTCTGGGCATAGAGGCTGAGGGCATAGAGGCCGAGGCCTTCCCCTGATAAGAACAGCGCAAGAGTCCTGCTGGATCAGGCCAGTGGTCCATCTAGTCCACATCCTGTCTCACACATTGGCCAACCAGTTCTTCTGGAGGGCCAACAACAGGGCATAGAGGCCGAGGCCTTCCCCTGATAAGAACAGCGCAAGAGTCCTGCTGGATCAGGCCAGTGGTCCATCTAGTCCACATCCTGTCTCACACAGGGGCCACCCAGTTCTTCTGGAGGGCCAACAACAGGGCAATAGAGGCCGAGGCCTTCCCCTTATAAGAACCTCAGAACAGCTCTGCTGGATCAGACTAACAGTCCATCTGGTCCAGCATCCGGACTCACATAGTGGCCAACCAGTTCCTCTGAATGGCCAACAATAGGGCATAGAGACCGAAGCCTTCCCCTGATGTTGCCTCCTGGCTCTTGGATTTAGAGAATTAGTGCCTCTGAATGTGGAGGTTCCCCTCAGTCCCCAAGGCTAATAGCCACTGGCAGACTTATCCTCCATGAATCTATCTAATTCCCTTTTAAAGCTACTTATTCCTGTGGCCATCACAACATCCTCTGGCAGCGAACTCCGTATTTTAATCACTTTCTGTGTAAAGTAGTATTTCCTTTTATCTGTCCTGAACCCACCGCCCATCAGCTTCACCGGACGCCCTCGAGTGCCCGGAATCCAGGTGAGTCCTAGAGATCGCCCAGAATCACAACCAATCTCCAGAAAACTGAGATCAGTTTCCCTGGGAAACATGGCTGTTTTGGAGAGTGGACTCTATGGCTGTCCCAATGAGGTCAGTCTCCGCCTTAAATCTGCTTCAACTCGTCTCCAGACTACAGAGATCAGTTCCCCAGGAGAAAATGGATGCTTTAGAGGGTGGGCTTTATGGCGTTGTACCTAGAGATGTGAAGGCCCGGAAAAAAACTGGAAAAATTCAGGGAAAAACCGGGTTTTTCCCGGTTTTTTCCTGAAGATTTTTTGTTTTTTCCCCAAAAATTGGAAAAATTGAAAAAAGAAAAGAAAAGGAAAAAAATGATTATGGAACGTTTTATTTTAACATGATGAATAAAATATTTTAAGACAAGGTGTTCAAATATTTTCCAAATCATTTCTAAAATATATATATGCGGTATCAGATTGATCTAATTTCTGTGCACTGAGGACAAGCAAGTCCTAGGTTACAAACTGAACTCTCCAATGCAAGAACAAGATGCATTTCTTCCTTTAGGAGGTGTGATTGTCAGAAGAAAATAAAAAAGTTTCAGTTTTGTTTTTGCATGTGGGGTGGGTATTCTGTTTGTAATAATTGTTTGGATACACTATATTTTTAATATGCTCGTTGTGATAATTTCGTGCCAAGTAAAAATGTCCATAGTCATATTTTATGTTCCTAAAGTAACAGAATGACTTTCAATCTAAAAAATACAAAATAAATGCTAATGTAGCATTTTTTTCAATTTTTCTGAACATTTCCGTTTTCCCCCCCAAAAAAACGGGGGGGGAAACGGGGGGTTTTGCGAGCTTCAAAATTTTCAGAAATTTTACATCTCTAGTTGTACCCCACCAAAGTCCCTGTCCTCCCCGGGCTCCGCCCTCAAATCTCCAGGAATTTCCCAACCTGGATCTGGCAACCCTACCCACCCATCCCTCGCCGGTGGGTGGGGGGACCTGGCAACCCTATTTTCTGGAGATTTGAGGGATGGTTCCTGGGGAGGGGACGGACCTCAATGGGGTACAGTGCCATAGAGTCCGCCATTTTCTCAGTGAGAACGAATTCATGTTGTCTGGGGATCAGTTGCAATTCTTGGAGATCTCCAGGCCCCACCTGGAGGTTGGCATCCCTATTGGAAAGATGACAAGAAATTAGCAGGGATCTCGCAACAAGATAAGCGACGGCCGCCCCTCTTCCCTGACCCAGATCAGCAGAATTCCACGGTCGCGACATCCAGAATCGAGGTGCCTCCGAAGCAGTGTTCCCTCTAATCTGAGTTAGTGTGAGCTAGCTCACCATTTCTTAGCCTCCGGCTCACACACTTTCGTCTCAGCTCAGGAAGGGATGGCTCCAGAGCAGACTAGTTTATGCAGCAGCCAAATGGCTTGCTCACCACTCTACTGTCAGTAGCTCACAAAGTAGAATTTTTGCTCACAAGACTCCACAGCTTAGAGGGGGCATCGCTCCAAAGTACATTGTTATGTTAAAAACTGGGATTCTGTGGAATAGCCTAGCGCCCCCTAGAGGTCTCTCTGTGTGTTTGGGTTGTTGTGTTGTTGTTTTTTGTGGTCCTCATCCAGCCGATCTTTTCTCACAGGGGCACCCACATTGTTTACCAGCCTTTGGACGATCATGAAGGTTTACTTTGATGATGTCGGGTAAGTGTGCAATCGGGGATGGTTACTGTAATGTATTCAGAAGCTGCCCTGAATGCATTAAGATGAAGTGAAATCATCTCATAGGGAAGCTATGCTGAGCTTCGTCTTGGCCAGGGATTCGCGCCAAGACTAATGCGACTAATCACATTCAAACAGACGGGAAGCGGGAACGCTTGTGATTGGACCTTATGCACTCAACCTGATAGGTTGATATTTGTATAGGAGGTGTGGCTACATTAGCCCGGAATGTTTAAATACCGAGCAGCTGCAATGGAGAAGCTGTTCGGGCTATCGAATGTTGTACCGTGTTGGAGAAGTGATCATCGAGCTGAATAAACCTGAGTTTTTGCTGAAATCACTCTCCGGCTATTTGTTAAGCACCAGACTTAACAATTGGCGGCGAGGATGGGATTCTAGTGCGGGTAGGCAGCCCCGCTAAGTCCCAACCCACGACGGACAACGAGTGAGCGGCAGCTCACAGTGGCAGAGCAGCAACAGGTACTGCCTGAGCAAGTGGCAGCGATTGCAGCTATGGCCAATAGCCCGAAGTTCGAGGCATTCAAACCAGCGACCGAGGCTCTAAAACACCCTGCTCAATGAGCTTGTCCAACTCAGCGTCGATCCTCGGCTTAAGCGGGATAGGAACCTTCCTATATTTGAGGCAGATTGGCGTTACCGCAGGATCGAGCTCAAACGACACCGGGGGCCCAGTATATTTACCAAGACCTCCCCCAAACACATCAGTTACCATTAAGGACTGGGCCATTTCCTGGTTGGAAGGACCATTGGGAAGTTGTCCTCCGGACGGTCCTGTCTCATTGCAGGGACCCCAGAGCATTCTTCCATTTCCTGGTGCCTTGCCTAATGCCAGACCTGGACTACAAGTCCACAGGTGATAATGCTGGGAACAGGGGCCCTCAACCTTTTTGAGCCTGTGGGCAGTTTTGGAATTCTGTCGTGGGGTGGTGGGTGCAGCCACAAAATGGCTGCCACGGGAGACAGAGCCACCCACAGAATATCAGGGAGTAAGAAGAGGAGAAGAGATTGGATTTATAACCCCGCCCTTCATTACCCGAAGGAGTCTCAGACAGGGCTCTTTTTGTAGAAAAAGCCCAGGAGGAACTCATTACCATAATAGGCCACACCCAATGGCAGAAACTCATTAGCCTATTAGGCCACACCCCTGACAGCACAGCTCATTAGCACATTAGGTCGCACCCCCATGTTACCAGAAGTGTGGTCATCCAGCCACACCCACCTTTTGCTTCTTATTCTGTTTACCTTGTCTGTTGTCAAAACCCTGGGCCTTTTTTGTAGCAGGAACTCCTTTGCATGTTAGGCCACACACACCTAATGTAGCCAATCCTAATGAGTCTCTGCTGTTGGGTGTGGCCTGTTATGCTAATGAGTTCCTGCTGGGTGTGGCCAACTCGTGAGCCAGCCGGAACTCCGTTCCTGTGCGTTCCTGCCCAAAAATAGCCCTGGTCTCAGAACAGTTTACAATCTCCTTTCCCTTCCTCTCCCCACAACAGACACCCTGTGAGGTAGGTGGGGCTGAGAGAGCTCTCTCGAGGACTGCTCCTGAGAGAAGCGCTCTGAGAGAACTTGTGACTGACCCAAGTTCACACCAGCATGTGGAGGAGTCGGGAATCAAACCCGGTTCTCCCAGATTAGAGTCTGCGCTCCTAAGCACTACACCAGACTGTGTCTCTCATGCAGAAAGGGCCAAAAGCGTACAAATCACAGCAGTTAAGTGATCTACAGAGGTCCCAAGTTTAACCTTCCTAGATGGTAGGAAAAGTTGTTGGCATGTCGATTAATGCATTATCTTCCTCTTCCAGTTCGGTGTAGTGGTTAAGTGCGCAGACTCTAATCTGGGAGAACCAGGTTCGATTCCCCATTCCTCCACTTTCACCTGGCTGGATGACCTTGGGCAAGCCCTAGTTCTGATAAGAGCTGTTCTTGAAATAGAGCAGTTTCTGCCAGAGCTCTCTCAGCCCCACCTACCTCCCAGGGTGTCTGTTGTGGGGAGGGGAAGGGAAAGGAGTTTGTCAGCCGCTCTGAGCCTCCTTGGGGTAGTGAAGGGTGGGGTATAAATCCAATCCCCTCCTCCTCCTCCTCCTCCTCCTCCTCCTCCTCCCTCCTGAATTACGTTCATCCATGTTTGTTATTTTTTGTTTCAGTTGCTGGGACTTAATTGAACATCATTACTGGTGGATCATCAAAACTCCCATCCTGGTTTCTATATTGGTAACGTATCTGCATTTTTCTCTACCTCTTCACTGCCTCCTTTAGCTACCCCCCCCATTGCAACTAGATCCTCTACAGAAAAAAACAAACAGAAGTAGTACAATACTTTATTAACAGACTCTCGATTGGTAGCATGCTGGACCTTGTCTGTAAGCAACAGAACTAGAATTACGACCTTGGCCCTATTTCACATCAAATTCAGTTCATGCCTGTGTTTTGATGCATTCCTGGACGTTTTATGATCCTACGCGTTGGATCCCCTTTCTTTGGAGTTCGATCCCCTTTCTTTGGAGTTGCGGTGGCTCAAGTGGTTAAGACGCTGAACTGCAGGCTGTGGAAGGTCGGTAGTTCAGCAGTTCGAGACCCGGGTGCCGCATGACGGAGTGAGCTCCTGTCTCTAGTTCCAGCTCCTGCCAACCTAGCAGTTCGAAAGCAAGACATTGCAAGTAGATAAATAGGTACCACTTCGGTGGGAAGGTAACAGCGTTCTGTACGCCTTGGTGTTTAGTCATGCCGGCCACATGACCACGGAAACATCTTCGGACAGCGCTGGCTCTTTGGCTTTGAAACGTAGATGAGCACCGCAACCCTAGAGTCGGATTCGACTGGCTTTTGAGCAAGGGAACCTTTACCTTTACCTTTATCCCCTTTCTTAAAGGTACAGCGCCACAAGGATTTCTCTTGTAAATGCTTTTTTCAATCATTTAAAAACATCTTTTAAGGGCGTGCGCTCCTTTAAGCAGAGTAGGGGGCTGTAGTTGACTAATTCCTGCACTGAGCAAGGGGGTTGGAGTAGGTGACCTCTAGGATCCCTCCTAAAGCTGTGTCAAGAAACTGGTCTCCTTTAAGAGAGTTTTTCTGCCTAAGCGTTTGCTTTCTTGACTGTAGAAGTCATCCCCCCCACCTGCCGGCTTGTTATCAGAATTGTTGCTTAGGCCGGCAGAAGTGATTAACTTGCAGCAGCTGAGAACTGTCGTCTACAGTGGTTGACAGCTTGCAATTTAGAGATCTATCCTGGCCACAGCTTTCAATTGGCTCCATGGCTTTTCTTTCTGCACTGAGAACTTCAGCCCCACCAGAAATAAAATTGCCCCACAAGCCACAAGATCCTGGCTACGGGCCTGCCAGGTGGGCAATGCTGGGGACCATGGAACCCACATGGAAAAAAGCCATCTGGGCTAGGAACTTGAATAAGGGGGAGAATTAGGGGAGAATAAATGGAAAAACGGCATGGATCCATCCTACCCAAAATGTCTTTATCATCTCAATTTTTGAGTCCTGCCAGTCAGCCTCCCAAGATTCCACAGTGTGTGCTGCCAACAATGAACTTTATCCAGCATGCAGTGATTGTCCCAATAACTCCCATCCATCTTCTGATATTGGCTCCACCCATTCTGTATTATGATATCACTAGGGCGGGTGGAGCTATTTGGAAAATTGCCTTTGGCTTGGTACACAGAGATAAGGTGGACTTGGGAAAGTAACTTGTCCCCATCCTATCTGATTACACAACTGTCTTTTTTTTAAAAATTGGAATTTCAGTGAAAGAAAGAGTTTACATTAGGCTGAAATTCAGTTTGTTAGTCAGCCTTTTATTCGCTGGGGACTGCATAAGTAGGGCTAATCCTACCCTTGCTGGATAGAAGAGCTGAGATACCATTTTGTCAAAAAAAGAAAAAGAAGAGTTATTTATTTCTTAATTTAGAAAACACGTTTCCTGCCTTTCTTCCTCTGAAGACTCAAGGCAGGCAAAAAGGAGATATAGAAGGCTAAGGAAGGAGATTTAATAGAAGGCACCAACGTTCCCTCTAAGCTGTGGAGTCCTGTGAGCAACAATTCTACTTTGTGAGCTACCGGCATTAAAGCTGTGGGCGAGCGATTTGGCTGCTGCATAAATGAGTTGGCTCTGGAGCCCTTCTTCCCGAGCTGAGACAAAAATGTGTGAGCCGGAGGCTAAAAAACTGTGAGCTGGCTCACACTGACTCAGCTTAGAGGGAACACTGGTCCCCATTGGGGAAAAAAGTGGAGTACAAATTTATTAATTTATTTATCAAATGTATACCCTGCCCTCCGGGCGGAGTCCAGCTCAAATGAAGTAAACAAATAATAAAGCTGGTAGGGGTGTATGTAGACAGACAAATAGGATCCTGCCTTGGGGACCCTATTTGGGTGGAAAGGCAGCACAACCTGCTGGATGACCTTGCGCAAGCCATTCGGCAGCAGACTGGTGGATGAAAGGTAAGGTGGGGTGTCTTCCTATAGGAAGGAGCCTGTTTTTTGCACTGTTGTTCAGCAGAAGGAAAAAGAATATTTCTGTTAGCCAGCCACTTCTTTTACCTTTGAAGAACAGCAGGCAGGAGGTGGGCAAAGGTAGGAGCTGAGGTACTCGCTTCTCTTCTGTGTAGCCTGAGGGGAGGAGGTATTCACTGTTCTTGCCTGTACGACTGGGCTTGGAATTCCAGTTCTTCTGTCGTAACACTGGAAAGCGAAGGCTAAGATCTGTGTTCGAATTCAAGATCCTTTCATCTCCACCAGTCAAGAATCCAGAAGCAAAGACAAGATTCGGTCCACATCCTAATCCAAATTCCACAAGACAGTGATATCCGCAAGAGTTCCGCATTCCGCAAACGAGAAGTTACATTCCCTGACTAGAAATATTTTGAGGGCCTTCTAATGAAGTTTCCTTCAGGGACCAGGATAGGAGTGTAGACCAGATCGCTCCACGGCATGTACTTCCATAAGCATGTACAAAGGGGAGGCATTCTCCAAGGGTGTGGATTACTAGCTCCCTCACAGCTTGTCTTTTAATCGTTTTCCGGCTCGAGGCGCTAACATTAGGCCACAGTGGCGCGCTGCGGTGAACTTCACCTCTCCGTCTCCTCCGACCTTCTTCCGACTAACCGAGAAAGAATCTTTTCCTGTCTCAGTGTCGACGCTGTGCCTAGCTGTGCTCTGTGGGTTTGACATCATCATACTTGGGATGTTATGACACAAAAGTCCCAAGCGGGCTGATGTCAGGCCTAAGATGGCTGCCGTCCTGTCTTGCTTTGCCTTGTAACTCACAGAGCGGTGTTCTATCTTCACGGTCTTTTTAATTACAGTGTCCCAGGAAAATCAATGTTACAATAGGGGCGGCCAGTTTTCAGGAACACTCGCCTTACAAGACCATTTTACCTCACATCCTGCCACACGTCTACACCAAGAGTGGTGTGAAACTCTCATTGTTCGATAGGATAATACAGATGATCGGGCTACCCATGGATCACAGAGGTCCCCTGAGGTACTTTGGCTTGGGCAAGAGGAGAAATTAAAAACTCCTTTCTTTTCCCGCTTTCTGTGCCCTCGCAGGTCAACTTTGTTCTCTTCATTTGCATTATCCGAATCCTTGTGCAGAAACTTCATTCTCCAGACGTCGGCCGAAACGAAACAAGCCAGTATTCGTAAGTTTGAGATCCTGGTTTTAACATTATTATTATTATTTATTATACTTATTGATCGCCCTATCCTGACTTGTGCCGGGCTCTGGGCGATGTACAGTATGGCATAAGCATTAGAAACAATATACAAACATTAAATATAATA